GCAGAAATGTCAAAAATATTTTGGATAAACCTTAAATTAAAAATCAGTATTTTTAGTAGCATTTACATTGTAATTATAAATATGGAAAAATAGATGGAGGACTAGAAGACAATATGGAAAATGAAAATAATTGCTTAGGATGGAGGTATTAGGAGTTTATTTTACTTCTTATAAAAATGTCTCAAGTTCTGTTTTACATCAACTTTTCAGTTGAAGAAAAATAGCTTCTTGCCTCTGAGAATCAATTTACACCATAAAAAATGTCCACATAGATTATGAATAAAAGGTGGGTTTTTAAAGAATTGATCCATTTTCTGTTCTCTGTGAGCTTCCTACTATAGCCTCTCTCTCTAGTACCATCATTTCTACCAATGTTTTTAAACCATGTGGAGTTGCTTGCCAATATCTTATGTTGGGGCCCCACCTCGAACCCACCAAACCCAACCTCTCGCGGCTTGGCCTGGGCATATATATTTTAAATCCACTCTCCCACCCAGGTAATTCTTCCACACCATCCTCACCCAGCTAGTTTCAGAAACACTAACGTCACCATGAAAGACAAGCAGTGGCTCTAAAGATGACCTTTCCAAAATCTGAAATTAAAAAAAAAACAAAAACAAAAAAACCCACAAACTTCGTTTTAAAGAAAAATCAAAAATTGTGGTCAACATTCAGGTGACTACTTTCAATTTGGATTTCCTGGAATGTAGGTAAACGTGGCAAATGTGTTCACACTATTACAACGAAAGGTGTGACTTCTGTGGTATCCTCAAAAGGCACCAAACTAAAGAAGGTCCTAGGGAAGGTTGAGGATCCCATCCCAGACATGTCCTCAAGGTGGTCCCCTGCCACCTTGGTGACCTTGCAAAGATGCAGCTAGAGCTTCTCAGGGTTTTCCCATAAGGCAAATATTTCTTTCCTCATTAATTTGTATATGGTGATCAAAAGGCTCCAGCCTCCAAATTTTTTTATTTCATTCCCAGCAATTTCTAGATGCCGCTGCTCCCCTCAGGCACATAAAGCTCCATAGCCACCAGCGATCAGCTCAGCAGAGTGGATGGAGAAAGCAGATTGCAGGAGGGGCAGAAGGGACAGAACGCACTGTAGATGGCTCTCTGAGTTCTAGCCTGATGGACGGCACGCCTGGCCTTCCGATCTGCATTTTTCTCCAAATGAGCACATGTCATCCATCCTTTGTCTAGCCCCTTCCTTTTCTCTTTGCTTTGTAGATTAACCATAGGATGCTTTTGCTTCCTCTGTAAAATGGGCCATTGTCACAGAATTATTAAAGTTAGAAGGAACCTGGTCCAGCATTTTAAGTTGAGAAAACCAAGGCCCAGAGAGTCTAAATGACTTGCTGTGGTCATATAATTGGTGAGGCCAAGCTGATTTCCTATCTCAAAGGCCACTCTTCTTTTCATTATTATGAGGAAATGCACATGACCAACCCACAGTCTGCAGGGCGGATGCTGTAGGTTGTTCTCATAGCAGGGATGATTTGGCAGTGACTCATTCCCACCTCTGCCACCACCCTGGACAGGTGACACACAGTTTAGACATCTGCTGTGATGTATGGAGAGCAGCACGCTGGGGCATGCAGGAGGACACCCAGGAGAGGCAAACCTTTTGGCATTGGCCTTGTTGACTGCACACATTCTTAAGACTGGAGGTTTTACAGTGGAAAGGGGAAGTAAGATTCATCTGCTGTCCCACCCTGCTGTAGGTTGCATGTCAAAAAGAGAGATGCCAGGTTCCTTCTAACTTTAATATTCTGTGACAATGGCCCATTTCTACAGAGGAAGCAAAAGCATCCTATGGTTAATCTACAAAGCAAAGAGAAAAGGGAAGGGCCACTAACACCAAGAGGATGGATTACAATGTGCTCATTTTGGAGAAAAATGCAGATCGGAAGGCAGGCTCCGTCATCAGGCTAGAACTCAGAGAGCCATTTACAGTGCGTTCTGTCCCTCTGCCCCTCCTGCAAGCTCTGCTTTCTCCATCCACTCTGCTGCAGCTGATCCTGGTGGCTATGGAGCTTTATGTGCCTGAGGGGAGCAGCTGGGCATCTGAAAATTGCTGGAATGGAAATAAATAAGAATTATGGAGGCCTAGAGCCTTTTGATCACCATATACAAATTTAATGAGGAAAGAAATATTGCCTTATGGGAAACCCTGAGAACCTCTAGCTGCATCTTTGCAAGGTCACCAGGTGCAGGGGACCACCTTGAGGACATGTCTGGGATGGGATCCTCACCTTCCCTAGGACCTTCTTTAGTTTGGTGCTTTTGAGGATACCACAGAAGTCACACCTTTCGTTGTAATAGTGTGAACACATTTGCCACGTTTACCTACATTCCAGGAAATCCAAATTGAAGTAGTCACCTGAATGTTGACCACAATTTTGATTTTCTTTAAAACGAAGTTGTGGGTTTTTTTGTTTTTGTTTTTTTTTAATTTCAGATTTTGGAAAGGTCATCTTTAGAGCCACTGCTTGTCTTTCATGGTGACGTTAGTGTTTCTGAAACTAGCTGGGGTGAAGGATGGGTGGAAGAATTACCTGGGTGGAGAGTGGATTTAAAATATATATGCCCAGCCCAAGCCGAGAGGTTTGGGTTTGGTGGGTTCGAGGTGGGGCCAACATAAGATATGCAAGCAACTCCACATGGTTTAAAAACATTGGTAGAAATGATGGTACTAGAGAGAGAGCTATAGTAGGAAGCTCACAGAGAACAGAAATGGATCAATTCTCTAAAAACCCACCTTTTATTCATAATCTATGTGGACATGTTTTTATGGTGTAAATTGATTCTGCAGAGCAAGAAGCTATTTTTCTTCAACTGAAAAGTTGATGTAAAACAGAACTTGAGACATTTTTATAAGAAGTAAAATAAACTCCTAATACCTCCATCCTAAGCAATTATTTTCATTTTCCATATTGTCTTCTAGTCCTCCCATGGAAAATGAAAATAATTGCTTAGGATGGAGGTATTAGGAGTTTATTTTACTTCTTATAAAAATGTCTCAAGTTCTGTTTTACATCAACTTTTCTTTTTTTTTTATTTTTTTAAATTTTTTTGCTCAAGAAACTGAAATCTATCAACTTTTCAATTGAAGAAAAATAGCTTCTTGCTCTGCAGAATCAATTTACACCATAAAAACATGTACACATAGATTATGAATAAAAGGTGGATTTTTAGAGAATTGATCCATTTCTGTTCTCTGTGAGCTTCCTACTATAGCTCTCTCTCTAGTGCCATCATTTTTACCAATGTTTTTAAACCATGTGGAGTTGCTTGCAATATCTTATGTTGGGCCCCACCTCGAACCCACCAAACCCAAACCTCTCGGGCTTGGGCCTGGGCATATATATTTTAAATCCACTCTCCCACCCTGGTAATTCTTCCACCCATCCTTCCACCCCAGCTAGTTTCAGAAACACTAACGTCACCATGAAAGACAAGCAGTGGCTCTAAAGATGACCTTTCCAAAATCTGAAATTAAAAAAAAAACAAAAACAAAAAAACCCACAAACTTCGTTTTAAAGAAAAATCAAAAATTGTGGTCAACATTCAGGTGACTACTTTCAATTTGGATTTCCTGGAATGTAGGTAAACGTGGCAAATGTGTTCACACTATTACAACGAAAGATGTGACTTTTGTGGTGTCCTCAAAAGGCACCAAACTAAAGAAGGTCCTAGGGAAGATAGAGGATCCCAGACCGTGTCCTCAAGGGCGGTCCCCTGCACCCTGGTGACCTTGCAAAGATGCAGCTAGAGGTTCTCAGGGTTTTCCCATAAGGCAAATATTTCTTTCCTCATTAAATTTGTATATGGTGATCAAAAGGCTCTAGGCCTCCCAGAATTTTTATTATTTCCATTCCCAGCAATTTTCAGATGCCCAGCTGCTCCCCTCAGGCACATAAAGCTCCATAGCCATCAGGATCAGCTGCAGCAGAGTGGATGGAGAAAGCAGAGCTTGCAGGAGGGGCAAAAGGGACAGAACGCAATGTAAATGGCTCTCTGAGTTCTAGCCTGATGACAGAGCCTGCCTTCCGATCTGCATTTTTCTCCAAAATGAGCACATTGCAATCCATCCTCTTGGTGTCTAGTGGCCCTTCCCTTTTCTCTTTGCTTTGTAGATTAACCATAGGATGCTTTTGCTTCCTCTGTAGAAATGGGCCATTGTCACAGAATATTAAAGTTAGAAGGAACCTGGTCCAGCATTTTAAGTTGAGAAAACCAAGGCCCAGAGAGTCTAAATGACTTGCCTGTGGTCATATAACTTGGTGAGGCCAAGCTGATTTCCTATCTCAAAGGCCACTCTTCTTTTCATTATTATGAGGAAATGCACATGACCAACCCACAGTCTGCAGGGCGGATGCTGCAGGTTGTTCTCATAGCAGGGATGATTGGCAGTGACTCATTCCCACCCTCCTGCCCCACCACCCTGGACAGGTGACACACAGTTGAGACATCTGCTGTGATGTATGGAAAGCTTCACGCTGGGGCATGCAGGAAGGACACCCAGGAGAGGCAGAACCTTTTGGCATTGGCCTTGTTGACTGCACACATTCTTAAGACTGGAGGGTTTACAGTGGAAAGGGGAAGTAAGATTCATCTGTGTCTCCACCCTGCTGTAGGTTGCATGTCAAACCGCTCACCGCACCATGCAAAGTGAGAGGCAAATCACTCGGTATCCACAGGCTCTGAGAATATGTCATCAAGCATCTGTATGTTTCCATATTCAGGCAGTTGTCAATATGGGAATGAGATATAGTCTATTTCACTACAAAGAATTTTGTATTTGGAACTCTGTATCCATTTTGGTTAAAGAAAAAATTATGGGATGTTGCTGTGCAAAAGCCTACTTAGCCCTATTGCTGGATGTGATCCTGCTGGTTCCAGGAAACCTAACTGTTAGGGACTAAATTGTGTCCCCCTCCAATTCCATATGTTGAAGCCCTACCCCCCAGTGTGATGATATTTGGAGATGAGGCCTTTGGGGAGGTGATTAGGGTTAGATGAGGTCACAAAGTTAGGGCCCTTGTGATGGAATTAGTGCTGTTATAAGAGACATCAGAGAGTTTGTTCTCTCTCCACCATGTGAGGACACATCGAGAAGGCAGCCAACTGCAACCCAGAAGAGGGCCCTTACCAGAACCCAACCATGCTGGCACCCTGATCTCTTGGACTTCCAGCCTCCAGAACTTTGAGATAATAAACTTCTGTTGTTTAAGCCACCTAGTCTACGATATTTTGTATGGCAGCCTGAGCAGACTAATATGCTAATCTCTAAGAACCACACTGGTTCTGTGGGTACCAGGAACACTGGGTGCTCCCTGCCCCAGCTGCCAAATGCCCAGCCTTAGAGGAAGGCCAAGGATCAGAAAGAGTGCACATTGTGGCGCTAGCTTTGGCAACTGTTCGCCTGCAAGGTATCCGGAAATCAGGTGTTTCATGTATAAACATGAAAGCACATCTGCACACCAACGGACACATTCACTCATCCAACAAATATTTATTGTGCACAGTTATGTGGCAGGCACGTAGGTGCCAGAGATATAGCAGTGAACAGAACAGACAAAAGTCCCTGCCTACTAGGGAAGACAGAGGATAAATGAAATAAGTAAATTATATTTTCTACTAGACAGTGCCAAGGACTAAGGAGAAAAAGAAGGTGGCAAGGGGCTAAGGAATGCTGGTGGTGATGTTAATCAGGGAGACGAGGTGAAGCCTCACTAAGGTACTGGGGGAGTAAAGGAGGTAAGGGAGAGAGCTGTGTGTATATCAGCAAAGGAACATTCCAGAATGACGGAAAGGCAAAGGGCCTGAGGTGTGTTGGAAACACACCACAAAGGCAAGTGTGGCAAAGAAGAGATGAACCGAGGTAAGAGAGAGAAGGGGTGGCACAGATCATGCAGTGTTCGTAGACCATCCCACCGACCGCACCTTCTCTTCGCAGAGCTGCAGCAGGGTCTGCTCCCTGTTCCAGCCAGGCTGCTGTGTAGACAGCGGCTCAAGAACAAGCAGCTTTCATATATGTGTTGTATTGGTTTCCTAGGGCTGCAAAACACGTGGCCACAAACCGGTGGCTTAGAACAACAGAAAATTATTCTCGCTCACATTTCTGGAGGCTCAATCAAGGTGTCTGCAGGGTGGGTTTCTTCTGGAGCCTTGGAGGGGAAATCTGCTCCACGCCTCTCTCCCAGCTTCTGGTTGGTGCTGGCAGCCCTTGGCTTGTAGCGACATCCCTCCAATCTTTGCTTCCATCTTCATGCTGCCTTTTTTCCCCATGTGTGTTTCTGTATCTTTGTGTCTGAATGTCCTTCTCCTTTCTCTTAGAAAGACATTAGTCATTAGATTTAAGGCCCATCCTAATCTAGTATGACCTCATCTTAACTAATTGTATCTGCAAAGACCCTATTTCCAAATAAGGTGACATTGACAGGTTCTGGATGATCATGAATTTGGGGTAACACTATTTAATTCAGTACACATACCTACTGCTAAAATACAGCATTTCGGTTTATAATTAGAAAAAAAAGCCTTGTTTTTTTTCTTTTTTTTTCATAAATTCTCTTCTGAAACTTGGATTGCTTTGTTTCTTTAATCAATATTAAATTTAGGTTTATTCTTGCAGTTTATAGGCAGGAAAACACCATGTGAAATGAGTTGGTCCCTAACAAGATGGAATTGGCTGAAACAAAGTATAGCTAAGAAAGCCAAAATCCAGGTCCAAGGGACTAATCAGTTTTTTTCAAAGTAATAGTGAATGTATATGAACATTCAAAATGAAAACATTCTGTTAAATGTAACTATAGAAAAAAAAGAAAACAAAAAAGATCTTTCTGCAAAATCACGTTCAGCCATGGTGATTTTAGCCCTTGGTGAAGGGCTTTGACTCAGACTTGGTGGTCCAGGGTCTGTGCCAGGGTCTCCAGTATAAAGTCAGGGAAAGTTGCTGCCAGTCCTTTACCAGTGACTTTTTATTATTTTATTTTTTATTTTTTTTAATTTCTTTCTTTTTTTTTTTTTTTTTTTTGAGACACAGTCTCACTTTTTTGCCTGGGTAGAGTGCCGTGGCGTCAGCCTAGCTCACAGCAACCTCAAACGTCCTGGGCTCAAGCATCCTTCTGCCTCAGCCTCCTGAAACATGGGACTACAGGCATGCCCACATGCCTGGCTTAATTTTTGTATATATTTTTAGTTGCAATAATTTTTTCTATTTTAGAGATGAGGTCTCCCTCTTGCTCAGGCTGGTTTCAAACTCCTGACCTCAAGCGATCCTCCCACCTCGGCCTTCCAGAGTGCTAGGAATACAGGTGTGAGCCACCACGCCTGGCCTACCAGTGACTTTAAAATAACATATATTTGTGCTCCATGAAACAAAAATGTGGAATAAGTTCAACCTCTGCACATAATGATCATCAAACCTCAATCCTTGCACTGCCATGTCTCTTCCCCAGACTCACCCGTTGGCCACTCCTCTCCACAGTGCCTTCCAAGTGGGGTTCACCAAAGTCCAGGAAGAAATCCCCAGAGAGCCGGTCAACCAGGACAGCACAGAGCACTGCCTCTTTTACCCGTCCCATTTGCTGTGGCCAGCCATGCTCCTCAGATGGCATTGTCGGAACACATTTTGATATGACTGCGTCCCCCTCAGAATAAAGTCATGCAACATTGCACGTGGGGTTACTTTGGTGTCTCTCTCTGTCTCTTACACACAGACACACATTTAATGCATGGCCTCTTCACAACACCACTCCTACCCTTCTGGTCTAGCTGTCCCTCTTTTCTCTTCCCTGTCCCCACACATGCACATCTCACCCCCAGCGCCTGGCCTTACCAGGGACCTGCTCCTCCAGCCCTTCCACTCTCTGCTGCCCACCTGATAGCCAAGCATATTCCTGCCCCCTTCCCATATGCCCATGTGGTGCATAGAGCTCTGGATGAACCACACATGGAATCAAACTGCCTGCAGGGCAGCTCTGAGCACAATTCGAAGTATGTTGAGAGCAGGGCACCCCCAAAGCCTCCAGTGCAGCACCCACGAAGACCCCTCATCACCTCTTCTCTCCGTAGGCCACCATCCCCAGACCCTGTGCCCATATTTCTGGCATGTCAACAATACTAAGGCTAGACTGAAGCACAGAATAAATTTGAAAGCCCAAAGATGCTAAAAACTTTTCTTTATAGCATTTCATTAAAGTTTATCCTCTTTTGCCTTTCCTTTTGGTTTCCCACTTTTTCATTTAAATGGTAGCATACCAAACACACTGTTGTACACCTTGCTTTTTATACAACTTTATTGATGTATATTTTATATGTCATATAATCCACCCATTTCAAGGGTACAATTGAATGATTTTCCTAGCAAATGTACCAGGTTGTGCAACCACCACCATAAGTCAGCCTCCTATAGTTTCCATCCGCTCAATAAGACCCCCCATGGCCGTTGACAGTGAACCAGCCCCCTCCTGCCCACCGGCCCCAGGGCAAGGCAACCGCGTTTGCTTCTGATCAGCAACTATGAGAAAGTAATTCTCCATGCTGTCATCCTAGTCTAAACAGACTTGGCGGGTTCCTTTCCCATCTGAGAACAGGGCGTTTTCACAGCGGCTGTCTTTTTGGTCAGAGGACTGAGCCAGAGGACAGCTGTGGTGGTGAAGCTGAAGGCTGGGGGAGGCAGGAGGGAGGCTACGGTGGGGCACACCTGCCACACGGAGGTGTCCTTGAACCCAGGGGCCCTTCCGCCCCCAACCAAACCACACTGATTGCCTCCTACGCCTGAGGCAACTCTGCTGAGAACAACTTTTAAAAACCCTTTAAAATAAAATTCACAAGAAAAATGACTTAATGCCTCAGTCTCAAATTTTCTCTAATTTAAAAAGCTTTTAATATATTTTTTTAAAATCCTGGATTCTTCTGGCCTAAAAGGTTTTTCCTAAGTAAAAAACACACAATTGAGATAAAAAATAAGGCATTACCATGCTCAGGTACACAAGGAAATGCCTGGTCACTGACCATTGGAGGTTTTGTTGTTTTCTGTTGTTTTTTTTTAAGAAAAGAAATTCGAAGCAAACACAGAGTCAAGAGCCACAGAACTCAGATGAAGGCTCCATCAAGGTTTTTTGAGGAGTGATTGTTGATCACAATATGAAAGGCAATCAAGTCGAGTTGTAATGCGATTTGGCTTAAAACACACTCACTCTCTCACACACACACACACACACAACACACACCCTATTTCCGCCTCCACTTTTCTCTATGTTTCATGAGAGTAAGAATATAAAATGCCCTCAATTAAAATTTACCTAAAGAATGAATAAACAAACGAAGACCTATTATGTTCTAAGTGCTATGCTAGAAATTAGGATCAGAAATCACAAAGGCCCCCATGTGAAGAAATTCAAGTAGGCTGGGCACGGTAGCTCACGCCTGTAATCCTAGCACTCTGGGAGGCCAAGGCGGGCGGATCGCTCAAGGTCAGAAGTTCGAAACCAACCTGAGCAAGAGTGAGACCCCCGTCTCTACTATAAATAGAAAGAAATTAATTGGCCAACTAATATATATAGAAAAAATTAGCCGGGCATGGTGGCGCATGCCTGTCATCCCAGCTACTCAGGAGGCTGAGGCAGGAGGATTGCTTGAGCCCAGGAGTTTGAGGTTGCTGTGAGCTAGGCTGACGCCACGGCACTCACTCTAGCCTGGGCAACAAAGTGAGACTCTGTCTCACAAAAAAAAAAAAAATCCAAGTTTAATGGAGAAGCAGACACATAAATATATTCTACCAGCATATACAGCAACCCCCCCTTATTGTGGGGGATACACCATAAGCCCCTTGGTGGATGCCTGAAACCACAGATAGTATCAAACCCTATGAGTGAATTTCCTTTTCTTTCTTCACAATGTCACAGATAGAAGATTCATTCTTACCACAGATCTCAGCAACCTTAGCATACAGTTTTTTTTCTTTCCTTGTGAAGTCAAGAAATTTTACCTTTTCGCCGGGCTTGGTGGCTCACACCTGTAATCCCAGCACTCTGGGAGGCCAAGGCAGGAGGATCGTTCAAGGTCAGGAGTTCGAAACCAGCCTGAGCAAGAGGGAGACACCGTCTCTACTAAAAATAGAAAGAAATTAATTGGCCAACTAAAAATATATAGAAATAATTAGCTGGGCATGGTGGTGCATGCCTGTAGTCCCAGCTTCTCAGGAGGCTGAGACAGAAGGATTGCTTGAGCCCAGGAGTCTGAGGTTGCTGTGAGCTAGGCTGATGCCATCACACTCTAACCCAGGCAACAGAGTGAGACTCTGTCTCAAAAAAAAAGAAGAAAGAAAGAAAGAAATTTCATCTTTTCATGTAAAGGAAGCACTTGATGGCTTCTCTTTGGCATATCCAGAGTTGCCGGCATCACTACTCTTGTGCTTTGGGGTAATTATTAAATCAAATAAGGGTGACTTGAACACAAGCACTGTGATAATGTGGCAGTCGATCTGAAAACCGAGACGGCTAATGAGCAAGTCACAGGGTGCACAGACAGCACAGCTACGCTGGACAAAAGGAGGATTCACAATATGGGCAGGACGGAGCAGGATGGTGCGAGATTTCATGATAGTACTCAGAATGGTGGGCAATTTAAAACTCATGAATTGTTTACTTCTGGAATTTTTCATTTAATATTTTCCAACCATGGTGGACGACAGGTAATGAAACCACTGAAAGCAAAACCATAGTAAGGGGGGACTAGTGTAGTATGACAATCAACAGATAATTTCAAGGTACAGAGATAGCTCACAATGAGCAGTAATTAATATGGGTTGAGGAGCAGGGAAATGATGAGGGAGACTTTGCATACGCTGAATATGAGCTGTCAAGGAGAGACAGGCATTCGCTAGGAAAGCAAAGACAAAGAGGGCCATTCTAGGCAGAGGAAGTAGCCCATGCAAAGGGCGTAAGTAGTTCACACTAGTGAAGGTGAGGTCAGATGTGGAAAGCAAGAAATCGTCTGAAGATTATATTAGGCAGGGTTCACCAGAGAAACCAAGCCAATGGTGTGTACTTATACAGTCATGCATGGCTGAGGGACAGGGATGCATTCTGTGAAATGCATCAGTAGGTGATTTTGTCATTGTGGAAACGTCAAAGAGTGTTCTTACACACACCAAACCTAGACGGGATAGCCTACCACACATGAGCTACATAAACCTGTACAGCATGTTACTGCACTGAATACTATAGGTAATTGCAACACAATGGGAAGTATTTGTGTATCTAAACATATCTAAACATACAAAAGGTACAGTAAAACATATGGTATTATAATCTTAGGGGACCTCCTTCATATATGTAGTCTATTTTTGATTGAAATGCCGTTATGTAGTGTACAACTATACATACAGACCTACATATTTTATATATATACATAGAGAGAGAGAGCTTGATTATAGGAATTGACTCATGTGTTTATGAAGGCTGAGAAGTCCCATGATCTGCCATCTGCAAGGAGAACCAGGAAAGCTGGTGATGTGATCCAGCCTCAGTCCAAAGGCCTGAGAATCAGGGGAGCTGATGATATAAACCCCAGTCTGAGTCTGAAGGTGCAAGAACCAGGAACACCAATGTCCAGGGACAGAAGATGAATGTCACAGCTAAAATAGAAAGAAAATTCACCCTTCCTCCATCTTTTTTTGTTCTATTCAGGCCCTCAGGGGATTGGATGATGCCTGCTCACATTGGTGATGGTGGATCTTCTTTATTGAGCTACTAATTCAAATATTAATCTGTTCCAGAAACATTCTCACAAACACGTCCAGAAATAATGTTTTAGCAGATATCTGGGCATCCCTTAGCCCAGTTAAGTTGACACAGAAAATGAACCCTCACAATGGTGGAGTTCACGGAGGTTGATGGGGAGCAAGAACTGGACACAAAGCGAAAGGACAGACTAGATGGTGTGAGCAACAGTGTACAGAATATTGAAGCAAATTTCTTGTACTAATTCATGTGCAGGAGCTGAGAGATGAGAAGGTAGGGAAGTGGCAGTAGTAGGAGCCATGGTTTTGATGGAACGGGTCGCATATGGAATTGTTGTCAGTGAATTTTGTGATGAGGAGACAGGTGTAACAGATAAAAGTAAAGCATTGTAAATACTCTTCAAATACTCTTCAGTTGGTCAATATTCTGTGAATAGGAATTGTAAATGGGTAAATGTGGACTTGAAAGAATTAAAACATTATCCTTAAAACCAGTAGAAAAGCAAAATACTTGAATTATAAGTCGGATATCGGGACAATTAGGGTGGGCTGAGTCAGAATAAATTAGCATCATGTCAGACCTGTACACAGATGCCTTTGTGGGTAAGACATACCCAGCTTTCTCCAGAAGAAGTCAACTGTAAGAATTGCAAGGGCAAAAAGAGTTAATACTGCCTTCAATATCTGGTACCTCTGGGGATACACTGAAAAATCCTTAATTGACACTGAAAAGAAAGTAGCTTCTACTTCTGAAATTATGATGATTTGTCCAGCACCACACCCAAGTCCTTGGCTAGATGGGCTGTGGTCCATACACTCTTGAACAGAGTCCTTGAAAACCCATTAAGCAGAATTGGCCAGGATTCAATGCTATAGACAGTGGTTGGGAACTGCCCAGACCAGATGGCCATGAGATACGTGAATCATTGCTTTCCAAAGA